TTACTAAAGTGGTAGATCAGAAGCTAGAGTTGCTGGCAGCAATCTTTGTTTCCACATGGGAAGAGCTCTCCTGAGAACCAAACCAACAGAAGGGAAGAACAGGGACAGGAAGAGATTCCTGATGACATCACTCGGGCACCTCGATCCAACCCTGCCAAAGTTTTACCCTATAATTTTTCAAATACACCAGTCCCAAAACGACCTTTTCTTTTAAGCTGCATCTGAGTTGGGATTCGGTCACAACCAAGCGCTGCTAATACTAGCAGCAATTTTAAACCATTAATAACCCCCTTCCCCAACCCACCCCCTAAAAAAGCTCCTTGTAAAAGCCTCAGCTTCCTCTAGGATGTTTCAATCCATAATTTCCTTCCCGTCCTCTGATTTTCTAGATGATTATTGGGTACCTACTCCCTTTATTGTTACTCAGTCCTCATGGCCTCATCCCAACTACATATACAAAGATGGTCAAGGATGAGCTAAAATTCTTTGTACCTTTGACAGCATCTTCCACCCTACAAGTACAATCAGACAAATCATGTATGAGAAAGAAGATGGTCTTTCTACAGATGGTCTGCGTCAAAGTAGAAAACTTGCTCTAACTGGTTTGGCTCAGTGGATAGAGTGGACTAAAAGGTCACGGGTTCGATTCTGCTCGAGGCATGTACTCTGGTTGCAGGCTTGATCCCCGGCCCTGGTCGAGGTGCGTGCAGGAAGCGACCGATTGATGTATCTCTCTCACATCGATGTTTCTCTCTCTGTCTCTCTCCTCCTCCCATCCACACTCTCTTAAAAATAAATAAATAAATAAAAAATAAATCTCAATGGAAAAATATCCTCAGGTGAGGATTCACACACACACAAAAAGAAAACATACACCTTTACTAGAAAAGAGCTTGAAGGGATGTTGGTTAAGGTCATCTCTATCCTTTCATTCGAGTGCTAATAATACACCAGGGAACAAGACAAGGTCCCCACTTTAACAGTTGGCTGGGCTGTGGATCTCTCCCAAACCCCTCCAAAGAGAGACCACTGGTATCTAAAGGCTCAACCACTGAGCCACATGGCCGGGCTGGACCGAGTTTTCAGTCTTCCTTTTCACTGAACAAGAATCTCACTTCCAAAATGGCAGAAGGTGGGTGAGGAAAAAAAATGGGGGGGGGGGGGGGGGTGTAGGGACAGTTACTATCCACTACAGCAGATTCTGTCTGAACCTATCTGACTTCCTCATGGAAGTTCACTTTTGAATATTTGTTCCCATACTTAGTGCACGTAAGGAAGTGATGTATTTCACACATACACACCAGGCGCACAGACACACACACATACATACACACCCAGCAGTGATCTACAATCCCCTATTCACAATCCTGAAATCCAAAAAGTTCTCAGTAGGGACAACCTTTTTGTTTCTTATTTGGCAGCAAAACTTGACCTGACCTGAACTTATTTGGTGGCAAAACTTGGCCTAACCTTACTGGAAGTTATTTATAGTCTTTATTTTCCACACTGAGTGTGAACAGTCATATGTTCCGCTGTAAAAGATACCGTTATTTAATTATAAGGTCATTCAGAAGTTTCGGGTAAGGGAATATAGATTTGTGTATAAATAATTCAACTAAGTAATGATGGTCCTGAAATAATACATTGTTTGCTTCAAAAGCATGTTTGAAAGTCTATACAATATTAACTAGCAAAGGACAAATACTGAAAATCAGGACTTTCTAAGCTATTATAAAATGAGTCTTGAGAGCATAGTTAAACTAGACTCCCAAGGGCACATGGCTTGCCCAAGAAAACCAGTTTTCAACAGACAAGTTACCACCTGCTACCCTCACCCCAAGGCAATGTACTTCAGTGAACTTTAGATCCCAGCTTGAGGGTGCTCACTGTGGATGTGGATCCAGCTCTGCTTTTGTTAGAGTTCCCCTGGATTGAACTTAAGGGAAAAGTAAAAAAATATTTGAAAACTAGGGGCCTGGTGCATGACATTGATGCATCAATATGGTCCCCAGGCCTGGCCTGCGATCTTCCCCAGCTGCCAGCAGCTAGCCCCGCCCCCTACCGCAAGTCTGCTGCTACCCATCCCTCAAACCTCCCCCCCCTTCCCCATCCTCCATCAGATGATTGGGGCCTGAAGGCTGGGGGCAGCTCCTGCGTTGTGCGTCTGCCCCCTGGTGGTTAATACCCATCATAGCAACCAGTCATTCTGTTGTTGGTTGATTTGCATATTACAGTTGGTTGATTTGCATATTACACTTTTATATACATAGATATACTTCCCTCTTACTTCCACTTTTCTGTCTCAGAATTTGGATGGGTATACAGCCAATACCACTTATTCTAAGAGGGAAGGTTTGGCTCAGTGGAAAGAGGGGTCTCAGGCTTGATTCTGATCAAGGGCACATACTCAGGTTGCAGGCTTGATTCCCAGTAGGGGGCCTGTGAGAGGCAGGCAATCAATGATTCTCTTTCATCTTGATGTTTCTAACTCTCTCTCCCTCTCCCTTCCTCTCTAAAGTCAATAAAAATATATTTACAAAAAAAAAAGAGGGAAGAAAAAAATATTATGAATTCACAGCTAACAATTGGTGAAATTAACAAGTTGGTAATATTAACTGTATGATGACAGCATTCTTATTTCAAGAGCTTATTTCAAAATAAGGATTAAAGATATAAATCAGTTGATGATAATAATAATAGTAGCAGTAGTTACTACCATTTAGTGAGAGTCTGCTATGTGCCAGGAACTGTGTGTGGTACTTTACATACAGATCTTACTTGGTCCTCACTATCAAACCCGCAAGGAAGGTATTCTTGCCTCCACTTTAAAGATGAGGAAGCCGAGGTTCAGAAAGCTTAAGTATCCTTTCCAAGATCAAACAAAGGACAGTGGGCTGTTTGAGAGACCATGAAGAGCTTAACAAACAGCTCTGGAGCCATATACTGCCATGGTTTGAATCCAGCTCTGCCACAGGCTGGCTAGATTAACTTGTGCAAGGGCCTCAGTTTCATCACCTGTAAAATGGGTGTAATAATAGTACCCATCTCACAGGGGTGTTGTAAGGATTAAATGAGTGAATGTGAAGGCAGTTAAGAGAAGGCCTAGCACTTGTATTAACTATGTATTAACTATTATCACCATCATGCCCTACGTATTAACTATTATCATGATCACGAATATGGCAGCAGCATTCAAACCCAGATCTGCCTCATTTGGCAGTTCTTCTTTCCCACTGTGCTGTACAAATTAAAATAACCTTAGTGGCATAGGAGTATGCCACCAGTTGACAATCTTTGCCTCTCATTTCTTTTGTCTGTTTCAAACCCTAAGATCTGGTCATCTTAAGATCTGACAAAAGTCTTTCTTTTGGTAAATAAATAAGCAGGCTTCTAATATATAAAATAAAAGATTACAACAACCGATGCCTCGAAGTCACCTTCACACTGGGGTTTTAATAAACAGCTCATTTAAATTACTCGGGACCAAAAAAAAAAAAATTCTTATCAGCAGTAAGACACAACTATACATAGATATAGTCACTATCTTTCGTTGCAACACATGAAACAAAGATAGAACAGCAGGTGGTATATGAGTTACATATTCCACTTACAAGTCTGGGGCACTTTCTCACCCTCACTTATAAAATGTATTTTTATTAGCCCCTACACCAACCTGGCTGGTGTGGTCCAGTAGTTGAGCTTCCACCTATGAACCATGAGCTTCAGTGGTTCATAGGTGGAAGCTCATGGTTCCCAGTCAAGGTCACATGCCCGGGTTTCCAGCTCAATCCCCAATAGGAGGCGTGCAAAAAGCAGCCTATCAATGTTTTCCGCATAGATGTTTCTCTCTCTCCCTCTCTCTTTCTATAAATCAACAAAAACATATTTTAAAAAAAAGAAAGAAATACCGTACGAGACCATCAATAATAAAATAACTACCCAACCCAAAGCAAAGGGCTGCTTCAGTCATGAAAAATGTTTAAAGTGTATATCCAGAACGCCCCCAAATCTATTACACCCGTGTGTTTCCACCTCCCAAACCTGTTGCTTGGACCATCTGAGGGATTCACAGCCTGACCCAACCACTTTATTGTCCTATTAACTAAAGGCAGAGTCACAAAGGCAGGGCGGAGTGTGACCTGGGATCTTAGTGATTAGCTGCCCTAACCCATAAATAACCCCAGGGCTGGTGCTGGCTCCCAAGAGGTTAAAGGATGGAGTCCAAAATCTAAGGTGCTCGGGTCACGTGGGTCACGTGAGGGTGATCTGGGGACAGGGAAACGGAGGTGCCGAGAGATCTCTCCCATCAGCCTGTGCACACCTGCCGGCGGGGCTCACGGACGGTGTACAGCTGTCCCAGATGACGGAGCAAACGTGCAAGAAAAAAAAAAAAAGTCCCCTTGCACACGGGGTCCTTTACACTTGGAGCCAGTTACACTATTCCCAGGGCAATAACACGCGTGCCCTCGGAGGAAGTTTTGAGAAACCGGGAAGAAACTAAGTTAAGAAGATTAAAGTGCCTTTGTCAAAGGTGAAAAGATTAGAAGGGTGACACCCCCCCGCGGGGCAAAGGGATGGGCACTGAGGAATGGAAAGACACCCACTCCGGGTCCCAGGAGGGGGATTCCTGGAGCTTCAAGGCCTGAGGGCGAAAGTCAAAAGCCTTGGAGACCCCGAAGAATGCCCCCGGTGTTTTCCCACCGGAAAATCAGCAAAAAAACGAGCTCCTACTGCCCCGCCCCCAACCATTGGGGGGACGAAATCTGGACCCCAGACGCAGAAAGCCGGCCGGAGTCCTCCGGGGAAGGGCAGGCGCTGGGTGGGACGGGTCCTCGGGGCGGCAGGGAGGACGGGGACGCGGGGGGCACGCGCGCCCGGAATCGCGGCGTCCCCGGCTCGGCGAGGGCGGCAGGGGGTCGGGGGTCGGAGGTCGGGGGTCGGGGGTCGGGGGCCGCGCGCGTTCGGGGCGCCTCGGCCAGGGATCCCGAGCCGCTACTCACCTCGCCGAACTGGAAGGCGGAGACGATGGTGACCACGACGCCCACGAAGCAGACGTAGAGCCCATACCTGTGGGACAGGCAGGTATAGGTCTGTCTCTGCAGGAGCTTGAGCAGCATCCCCCCGGCCGCCGCCACGCCACGCCACGCCACGCCCGGAGGAGCGGGAGCCGGAGCCGCCGCCTCAGCGCGCTGCCATGCAGCCGCCCCCGCCCGGCCGGCCGCTCCGATCACGGCCTCCGGCCGCCGCGCATTGCAGCTCCGGCGATTGACGCCGGCTCGGCTCCGCGCCGCGGCCGCCGCTTCCGGAAGCCGGGAGCCGGGAGCCCACGCCCACGGCGCGGCGGAGGCGGACCTGCACCCCGCGAGGCAGCCAGCGCCGCCCTGGTCTGGCCCGGCGAGCGGCGGCGGCGGCGGCAGAGGCGGCGGCGACGACAGCGGGGCCGCAGCGCCCCCTGGAGGGCGGAAGGGTAAAGGCAGGCGCGCGCCCTCCCGATCTGCGCATGCGCGGCGGGCCTCCAGCCTGGGCGGGGGACCCTAACCCGCGTGGGGCAGCGCAGCCCAGATAGGATCATTGGTCCCTGCAAGGACTCTGTGCCACAGGCCGCGCTGTTATGCCACGAACACTTACTGCTGTGCTCACATCCCTTTCTTCATCTACAACAACTGCGAAATATGGTTCATAGGGCTCCTTCCTCCCCCTCTGGCCCTCTAACCGTATTGCTTGAAAGGAAACGTTGGGGCTACGTGTGCCAAAAACAAAATTAATTCATTTATTGATTTAAAATGTAGTTAATGTCCTGTGCCTAGCGTAGTGTTTGGTGTCAGGTACTCAGAAATGAACTAGGCTTGGGCACCCTTCCCAAAGAGCCTCGTTGGGGAAATAAACACATAAAGGATCAAGTGCAGAAAAGTTATGCTAGATCCAGGGGTGGTAGGATATTTCCACTTTGGCTCCAGGTGATGTTGAGGAGGGCCTGCCTATGGGGTGAGAGATTTTGTTTTCTCTGAATATACTCTAGTTAATATGATTTTTGTCTTACGTTGAGTCACCTTGGGAAACAATCCACTTACCCAGTGTTGCCATTGTTCATAGCATTTTTACAATTATCTTCACAACCAGTTTCAAGGATATATTCCAAATATGCACTCAACTGGGTGGTCAGATGTAATTAACAGATTTGCAAAAGGGAGTAACTACCTTTGCTCCAATTTAAAGTTAAGTGTTGACACTTTTCAGTCCTTTTAATCCTTTAGGTCCTAAAGTTTAGGAGAAGCTGATGTGATAGATTTCCATGGTAAAATTATGGCAGTTGTGCAAGATACTTATAAAGTGGTAGGGGCAGAAATTGAATATTGGAGACTAGATATAGTTATAAGAAACATTCATCATGCTCTGTTAACCTTGGTTGTTTTGTTCTAATTTAATAAACACATTCTAACCTGGCCATATGCCCCAAGGACCTGGGAGTTAACCTTGGAATGTGGTCCATTTTCATTTAAGAACTGCTTATTATTATGGAGAGATTAACAACCTTGTTGCCCAAACAATGGAGTTCCACCCCAGTCTGCATTCCTGTCCTCCTATATAATCCTATAAGCAAATCCGAGGAATGGCGGAACAACTGGTTGCTATGACATGAACTGACCACCAGGGGGCAGATGCTCAACGCAGGAGCTGCCCCCAGGTGGTCAGTGCACTCCCACAGGAGGAGCACTGCTCAGCCAGAAGCCGGGCTCACCCTGGCGAGCACAACAGCGGTGGCAGCAGTGGGACATCCCTCGAGGGCTCCCAGACTACGAGAGGGTGAGAGGGCGCAGGCCAGGCTGAGGGACACCCCGCCTCCCCATGCACTGGGCCTTTAATCCAATATAAGCAGCTGGCTTATGTGGGGTGCAGAGCAGATTTTTGTGAATGGCTGCTTTCCTATACTGTCAGCATTTTTTGGAATAAAGCTCATACATGATTCAACCTTGTCTCTGCTTAATTGGCTCAAGTAGTGACCGGCAGCCTGGACCCATTGGTTGTCTGGTTTAAAAAGTTTCAAGGTCTTTTCAAGCATCATAACAGATATAAAACCATCTATCATTCACAGGACACTCTTAAGATGTTTGTTTCCACAATAATGATGGCCAACATTTACTTAGCATCTACTGTGGGCTGAGTCATCTAATTCCTCACAACCACCTTATAAGGTAGACATCACTATCGCCATTCTACAAATGACGAAACTGGGGTACCAAGAGGTTAGAAAACTGTCTAATATCACACAACCAATAAATGACAGGATTGAGATTTGAACAGGGTGGCTAAGTGGTTGAGTGTCAACCTATGAGCCAGGAGGTCAAGGTTCAATTCCTGGTGAAGGCACATTGCCCTGTATTTGGGCTTGATCCCTAATAGGGGTGTACAGAATCTCTGATCAAAGATTCTCTTTCATCATTGATGTTTCTATTTCTCTCTCCCTCTCCCTTCCTCTCTCTGAAATCAATAAATTATTTTTTAAAAAGTATATATGTATATATTTTAAAAATCAATAAAAACATATCTTTAAAAAAATTTTTTTATTGATTAAGGTATCATATATTTGTCCTCATCCTTCCTTTCCCATCCCACACCCCTCCCCACACATGCCCCCACCCCCTTGTTGTCCTTGGCCAGTGGTTAGGCCCATATGTATGCACACAATTCCTTTGGTTGATCTCTCCCCTTTACCCCTCTCCCCTCCCCTACACTCCCTCTGAGGTCCGACAGTCTGATCCATGCCTCCTTGTCTCTGGGTCTGTTCTTGTTAATCAGTCTATGTTGTTCATCATTTCCCCTAGATGAGTGAGATCATGTCCTACTAGAAATAGACTTATAAGAACCATAAAAATCTTTTTTGATATTTTGTCCTTTTTGTTAGGTACGTGCCAAAAGGAGCCAGGCCAAGAGGTGCTATGAGAGTTTAAGAAATTTTATTTCATTCTCTCACAGTGGACTGAGACCAGTGTGTAGGTGTCAGCCCTAAAGGGGTGATTAGGTTCTCTTATATAGGGTAGAAGTATGCAATATAGGTTCAGTGTGGGTACATGGATTGGTCAAGTGGAGGGGAGGGCATGAGTAGGTCAAGTGAAGGGGAATTCATCTTATCTTGCTTCTGCAAGCGCCAGTCATCTGTCTAAGGTTTAGACTCTAAACTACGGGAAAAGGTTATAACAATATCTATTCCTGAAAACATGTCCAAGCAGGAGAGATTAGGGGTAGTTCATCCTAACACTTTTCACATTAACATGAAAACTTCAGCCCTAGCTGGCTTGGTGCAGTGGATTGAGCAATGGCCTGTGGACTGAAGGGTCTTGGGTTTGATTGCAGTCAAGAGCACACACCTTGGTTGCAGGCTCCATCCCAGCTCCAAGTACGAGAGGCAACCAATAGATGAATCCCTCTTGAATTGATGTTTATCTCTGTCTCTCCCCCTCCCTTCTAGTCTCTCTAAAAATCAATGGAAAAATATCCTCAGGTGAGGATTAACCAAAAACAAAATGAAAACTTTATAACAACAGCTCTCTGATTTGTTTTTAAAGTTAATCTTTTTCTAGAGCATAAAAAAAAGAGTAATTTAAACATAAATCACACATATTAAACTGTAGACTAAGGAAAGTTCTTTTTTTTGGCTGGAAAGAGGAATCCTATCAAGGTTATTTCTGTCCCTTCATCAGCAGGATCTTTAAAATATTTTAAAATTGTGAGATTTCACTAAAAATCCTAACCCTAATATCCATTTTTGTATTTGTTTGTTTACTATTTGATTGAATTTAGTTAGAAAGAGAAAGAGAGAGAAGCTTCAATTTGCTGTTTCACTTATGCATTCATTGGTTGAACCTGCACAAATTGGCATATATGGGACAACATTGCAACTGGCCAATGACTGTTGTGTTATTGTTTTTTTAATAAATGGAATATTTAGTTATACTGGGACCACATTTCCACATGGCAACAATCTGCTGTGGCTAAGTAGGGACTGCCTGCCCACTTTGTAGGACAGTGATTCATCTCATCGTTTCACCTCCCCATCCTTGATGTTTAGGGTCAGCTGACGTTTATCATAATGGTTGCCCTGTAATTTACAGGTCAGAAATGTTTCTTCACACACACTTTATCAAAAGGTAAATAGAAGGCGGAGAGAGCCCCATGATTCAAGCAAAAAGGGACGTGGTTTTGCACGCATGTAGAAATGAAAATATTCATCTGTGTATTTGGGGCACCCAGCCTGAGTCACCCAGTTATGTTACCTGCGTCAATGACATTATCTGCCTGGTACTTGAGTATGTGATGATACTTGAGTATGTGATGCCCTGATTAAAGCAACAGCTAGAACTGTTGACTGAGAGGTTGAATTTTGTTGAGATTAAAACCAAGGTAAGATTGGTTATAAACAAGATTTATTCTTTCTTCCCCATTCCTCTGCACTTTAAGTACCTTACTTCCAGAAGATAAATCGTGAGAGGATGAGTAGAATCTTGTCAGAATCAGTTAGAATGCTACAAGAGTCCCACAGAAATGTTAATAGCCCACTTGTGACAAAGAGACAAACTGTAGTGTACTTCAGGGCCTTCCGGTAGGAGAGGGTATTTGGACAGTATCACCTGATGGAATAAAACCAGAGGGCTTTTGTCTCAAAGGCTTTGCAGTGACTACATTCCATTTCAAGAAGCACTTTTTTCTTTCAATATTTTTTTTAAATGTGCTTTTCTTTATTTCAGAGAGAGGAAGGGATAGGGAAAGGAAGCTAGAAACATCAATGATGAGAATTATCCATCAGCGCCTCCTGCACGCCCCACACTAGGGATTGAGCCTACAACCCCAGGCATGTGCCCTTGACCAGAATTGAACTGTGACCTCCTGGTTCATAGCTCAACACTCAACCACTGAGCCACATTCTTTCAATATTTTATTGACACTCCTGATCTGTCTTGCCACCTCTCACCCCAGCAGATGAGGAGTGTATCTGATGGGTGAGGTGGAGAGGAACTGAGCAGGTCTGCGGGAGGTAGGAGTTCTGATACTCTACCTTCCAAGCACAGGAGAATCAACAACCCGGGCCTGGGCAGGGCCAGGGCCGGAAAGTCTGTCTCAC